AGCACAGAAGTGTTGTCACTATCAGCATCTATTGTGCAGATCACAAGGTCGTGAGGCTGCAGCTGACTAGCAGCTCTGTGTTGAAACCCTGAAACTTACTGGAGGTCAAACACATCACACACAGTCACACACAATCAGAGTGTTCCAAAACACATGGCATTTTTCCTCATGTGGCAATCTGCTAACCACCCGTCAGACAAAGTTTTTGTATTTGTGAGAATTATACACGTTGACCATTCTTTGGAAAACGATTCCATTTTATCCAGTTGTTTATTCTATAAAGGCCTGGTGAGGGTTAAGACTTTATTTTTTTTTAGGATTGATATTAGAATTCTAGTCACCTCTGACAATGTTCAGAGCACTTCATATTTTGTGCAATTTGTGTTGTAGGCTTAATTTAAAATAATAAAAACAGCATTATTCTACTCCCAATATTCCATTATGGCGAACTGAAAAAATGTGTTAGATTTTTTTGCTTTTTTAATTTTTTTTTTTTTCTCAAAGAATTCACACTGTTATTTATGTCGTCTGTAGAAGCCCTTTTGATGGGACTCACAGCGTGCACTCTTCTTGGGTAAGTCTCTACTGGCTTTGGACACCTCAGTTTGGGCAATTTATTCCATTCTTAGTTTTATATCCTCTTAAACTCTGTCAGTTTGGATGGAAGCATCTGATCTTCCATCTCCACTGATGTTCTGTCAAGTCTCCACTTTGACTATGTCTGTCAAGAACAGTCAGAAACTTGACCTGAAGCCATTCAAAAGTTGTCTTGGCTTTTTGCTTTGGGTTATTGTGATGCTAAAAGGTGAACAATCATCCCAATCGCAGGTTTATTTACTCAGAAGCAGGTTTCCTTCTCTTTTTGGCTGCATTCATCCTTCCCTCTGCGCTGACCAAGACACTACCCAATAGCATGATGCTGCCACCACCATGCTTCAAAATAGAAACAGTATTACCAGGTGGTGAGCAGCGCCTTGAAGCTCTACCCAAGAAGCTTAACATTCATTTCATTCATTTTACTGGACTGCTGCGGTGATCGCTCTTCTGACAGGTTCTCCATCAGAAAACTTTAGAAGTTCAGTCAGAGTTGCAGTTTTGTTCTTGGTCTCCTGCCTGACCAAGATCCTTTTTGCTCGGTTGCTTAGTCATTTCAAACTTCTTCAGTTTCACAGTTACTGAGGAAATTGTGCTTCTGGGAATACGTAAAGCTTAAGAATTGGTTTTATATTCTGTCACTAATCTCACTACAGTTTTATCACAAAGGTCTGCAAAGAGTTGTTGTTCTTCATGGTTCGGTTTTTGTCTCGACATGCAGTATCAGCTGAGGAACTTTATATATACAGGTGTGAGTCTTTATAAGGTCTGTTAAATACCTTTGGTTTGCCACAAATGGACTGTAATCAAGGTTACAGAATGCAAAGAGTTCAGTTTTTGTATTTTTAAAAATGAAAAAAAAAAAAAAACTAAAACATGCTTTCACTTTGTCACTATGGTTTAATGTAAAAAATGGCAATATATATTAGTGATGCACGATATTAAAATTTATGGCCGATACCGATATCCAATATTAGGATTTCTGATATCGCCGATAACCGATATTACCGATGTCGATATTTAATTTTTGTTCGCACCTTAAGATGAGTATAAGCCAGCGCTGTGAAAACTATTCAAAAGAAGCCCGTACTAAATTAGACCACAGTCTTTATTGCGTAACAAATGTAAAACATACTTAAAAATATTTTAACATATTTAAGTCCAGGACCATTTAAGTAAAAACATCTGTGAAATAGCAGCAATATCAAATGTAGAGACGAAGACGCTCATGTTAGACGGTCATCAGTGTTTCACATCAGCTAAATTTGTTAATCGGACCGATATCTATGTATGGGAAGAAACACTAATATCGGTCGATACCAATGTGGTCGCCATTATATTGTGCATCCCTACAATATATCCATTTAATATGAAGTCTATGCATACTGTGTTGAAGTATTATGCTAAAGCTGAGAGTTACTGAATTCTCCAGGGAATTATTGCAATATACTGTTATCTGAACTGTGAAAATAATCAAACATGCATAAATCTCAAAGTTCGGAGCGCGACAGGAGCTTACCTGCAGCACTTATTCAGAACATTTACAGAATCTGAAGGCGTGAACTTCTTAATTTTGAATTTATGAGGAACTCTAGGAAGGTCAAAGTTCTACCTTGGTCAGCACACAAAAGCAGCTCAGTTCATTCTCATGTAACATTATATGCTGTTAACCATTAAATCTGGCCAATCACTCACAGTGGAAAAAAACAACTCTTCTTTATTCCTCCTTATTAGGTAATATGTCAGCGAGGGTCAGGAAAGATGATGAAGTCATGTTGAGTCATACTCAACCAGGAAGAAGATGAATGTCATTATGTGCAAAGTTACACACACACACACACACACACACACACACACACATGCAAGCAGGCACACAGTTTTATTTCAAAACTCTGTCTTTATTCTGCATGTATGAAGTCTAATAAATCAATCTGAGGGAAGTTGTTGTCTGGTTGGCCTCCTTCCTCTTAGTCGACCCTTGTACTTGTGAAGGGGCGTCGCTTTTGTTTTTTAATGCTGCTGATATTTGGTCCCCACTGTTTCTTCATCCTGGTAAAGAACATTTTCAAATCTCCCTCCAGACAATGATCTCAACGCACCTGCAAAGGCTTACAGAGCAAGTATTTGGCACCGTAATTGCTGACAATTTAAACTCTAGGAGGAAATCTTTGGGGAAACTTTTTTGTGTGTGTGTGTCAAACAGCCACTGGTAATACAGGGGGATTTTCACCGGTGGGTTGGGGACACAGACTGGATCAGGGTTTAAGGCATCGCTTGCGTTCAGTGTTTCCGTTTCATCCATCAGCTGCCATAAAGCAGAGGTGCGGAGGAGCATGTTGGTGTGGAGAGAGTGATGTAATAAAAACAAGCCCAAGATAGTGATAAATGTAAAGGATAGAAGAACCAAGTCTCAGTAGTCAGCAGTGGGTGGAATTTTACAAGTTGAAACTATCTTGATACTCTTCAGACGGAGCTGCTCCAAGTAGCCGCCAAGTAGAAAGGAAGGTCTTCAACTAAATAAACAGAACCACAGTTAATTCAATAGTCCAATTACTCTCTGCCAACTACATCTATCACCTTGAATTCAAAAGAGAATAACTGCAAGAATGTCTCGTACAATGAAAAATCTCTACACACTCAGATAAATAAAGCGTCATATTTTCATTTTGAAGGACAGTTTACAATTGATTTGACTGATGAATCCGTCCTCGTTGCATCTAAGAACTGATCGGTGGATACAGTCAAACCGAGACCGGATCTGTGTCTTAATTTAGATGCTGAAACTTGTGACGATGCGTCCTTCAGACGGCCTAAAGCCCTGCCCGAAACCCTCCCTGCATCCCAAAACAAGACCTCGCACAAGCAGTGCTGATGACGATCCAGGTTCCCTTCCCCCTTTTGCGATCTGTAAAGTCAAATATTAAGTTTCTCAGCAGGAAGTTCCCTCGAGCACAGCTTAGTTCCAAGCAACCAGAACTGAGAGTTTGCTGTGTGACGTTGAACCTGAAAGCATGACGATAAACAGAAAACAGTGCCAGGATAATACACTTAATACTAAACTGCATCCTCGAATACAATACTCTAAATCATCCCTTTTCTTCTTCTGTCTTTTTCGGATATTGATCTCCTCGCCGAGCCCAAAAACTGCTGTTATACACATTATTCTGTATGACAAGCACAAAACACCAACAAAAAGCAGCCAAATAACAACATCAGAACTTTAGTTTGTATCTAAATCAGGTATCATAATCACTTGATGAACTGAAAATGTGCTAAAAGCTTAACAAATCAAAATTTAAAAAACTAATGATGCATGTAGGTGTCAAAATGTAATCACCAAGAGAAATGTTTAACTTAAAAAACCTGATTAACGATCAACCTCTCTGTATGCTGTAAAACTTATTCAGTGTGCTACAACCAAAACATTCTCTTAACCTTTTCTTAACCTTCTGCTCAACTTGTGCTTCATTTTATGGATCTTTTTGCATCACTCTGTGTGTCTTCACGGTGCATCCGTCCCGTGAGACAAGGGGGAAAAACAACCCCTGTTAGGTAACATTATCACTGCATTATCTAAACTGTGGTTGGATTATTTGAAGTCTCCCAGCGCGACAACAGTCTGATCTGCCGGAGCTTCTCTTTCACTTTCTCTGCTCTGAGTCCGGAGCCAGCTTCTCTAATCTTTATTCTATAACATCACAACTGATACTATCACTTCCTATGTGGCAACTCTTGTCTCTGTATCAGTCTCCATTGCACACGCCGGATGCACCATGACAAAGTAGCTTGCATCAAGAAAACAACAACTCATTGCGCAATCATGTTAAAGCGACAACATAAATCTCACCAATAAACAAATTTCACAACATAACTCGGATCAGGTTTCCTACAGATTGTGATGTTTTTGACATCTGTTTTGATGTCTTGTGTGGTCAGTCTGTTTCATAGGAGCTGCTCTTGTGTGAGGCAGGTCTATCATAAACTTCAGATAAGTAAATAAAGCAGTGGGTTAGTTTTCTAATAGTAAACCCAGAGAGATCATGTTAATCCCTCCATCCTCATCAGAAACACCTGGATGGAAACAAACGGTTGGTTTTAGAATCACATGCCCACACTGATTAAGAGACGCAATATTTCCATTTTGGAAAAATACATCTTTGCTACAGTTCACTAATTAAAAGATGATGTCATTATCAGCTGCGTCATGGACTTTTAACAACACACTGATTATTTTCCAACACCAGCATTTTCCAATATGGATCTTATCTCTGGATGCAGCTGCAGCAGAGCGCCCCCTGTTGATTATTTCCCGACAGTGTCCCTCTTAAGTCACTGGGTTGTAAAACTGCAACATATTTAAATGTAGAATTTGTATTTCGAGCCCTTTTTTAAAACACAAAACTGGATACGAAATCACATTTTACATTTATTATCTCTTCAATAAATCGCTACAAACATACATTTCAGCTGTCATTCGGGACATTACGCTTCAAAAGGCATAAAAGTCTTTGATTACACACAGAGCTTTACATTCTCACCCGACCGTGTTCGTTATGCAAGTCAGGAATCAGGAACTGGGATAGCCGAGCAGTCACCTGATGATTTCTCATCGCCCGAGAAGGAAACTAACTGAAGTCTGATGGGCTAATGTGCACATCTGGACCCCCCAAAAATGGAGGTGGATTCATTAGTTCTCCCCACAAGCTGATTTTTCTAGTCAATTCTAGCGGCCAACAGAGCGTTTTCATGATACCGACAGTGATCCACAACTTCCATGAATCATTTACAGTTGTTCTCTGATTAATCAAAATCTTTTAAGGCTGGGAGTTTTGTTTTTCCTTTCTCTTTCATGCAGCAAAGTAATAAAATAATGCTCTGAAGACTGTTTTTACTGTGATTACAGACACGTGAACGATATAAAGCCCCTGCAATCAAAGGTGAAAAGTTTGTGTTTAGTGTGACTCACGCTGGAAAAAAATGACAGTGAGGGATGAAATTCAAAACCGAAACCTATCACTAAACCAACAGGGTGTATGGCTGAAACCAGGAGTTTAGATAAAATTAAAAAAACACCTTATTACACCACAATGACTCACAACTTTCAGCTAAATTTGTGGCTCCTGGGGACCCTCCTCCTCTGTACATACATGAATCAGGTGTAAACCAGATCTGAACACACCTGGTTTGTGCAGCTTGTGCGAGCTGATGGGAAGCTTAAGTACAGCCGTCCCAGATTCCTTGGCTTTGGATAACAGTCTCGTCATTTCAACACAGTCTAAAATCATCTCAGACTTTTGAACAAAATCCCCTACATGCAGGTTCAGTGACAAACAAGCACTGAAATGAAAGAAATGAGGTAAAAACCGTTCTAAACAATGATATTGTGAGAAAAAAGGTAACCAGGGTGTAATAGCAATACTGTCAAGGGCTGCATGACAAAGAAGATGTAACTCTAAAACCAGACCTTGATGTGGATTGAAGAAGGATTGCCACAGCGGTTGAACAAGAGTGACACCTTCTGGGCAACAGAGGAACAGCAGTGGAAAGACAGGATTTCAAATGCAGATTTATCGACTGAAAAGTAAAGAAAATTCTGGATTTTTGACATCTTTGCAAGTGTGCATGTCCTTTAGATACTTTTTCACTGTGCACCAAAAGAAAAGAACTGCTCTGTGGTTAAAGAGAAAACAAGAACATTGATATCACCGTGTTTAGAAGGATGTTTTTTTTTTAATTAAAAATACTATTTTGACCACTGAAAGCTGGCCTTTTCAAATTGACGACATACTAAATTAGGACTTAATCACACCGGTTGTGCTGATATGACATTCTGATCAGCCTCTGCAGCTTCTCAGTCTCACACAGAAGCTGTTGGATCACCACGAGCTGCTGCAGATGTTTCCACCATGGAAGTAGTGAAATTTATAAACAACAAAAAAACAAATCACCAGCGTTCACAGAACCACCCACATTACTGTAATCTTACACACATCCCTCCACCACCTTGTTTAAGTTAGAAAAAAAAATAATTCTGATCGTGAAACACACAACCGAGGTGCAGAGCAAACAGCCGGGGACATGAACAGACAGAAAATTCTCAATACTGCCGACAGAAAAGAGGAAAATCATCCTTAAATCTGTAATATTAATTTTAAAAAAAAAACGGCAATGTTTCAGTATCGGTGAAAAATCAGCTCCGAGCAGCAGCGAATGATCCTTCACTTGATGGTTTCAGTATTTTCCGCCATCTTTTCCACCTCTCAGGGTAATTCAAACACCATTACCAGGTTAAATAGGATTTCAGTTCCCAAGATGCAACGGTCCTACTAGTAACCGCAGGCTCTGCTTCGACTAGTGCACCTCTTCTTTCTCACCCATGTCGATAATTCAACGCGGTGCTGTTAACAGAAGGGATGCAGACGGTCCTGTTGTTCTGCTCTTGGCATCATCGCCACGGATCTTCACCATCGAGAGCAAAAAGTCTGCAAGATGCTGCAGAGAGAAGAGTCCCAGAGAAAGGAAGGAGGGACTAACAGTCCGGGGCTATAATTATTTCTGGTTTCGTCCCTCTCTTCTTTCTCTTCAGTCCTCCTCCCGTCCTGATGATTATTTCTGCAGCTCCTGCGGCGTGCTGAAGGTCTCGTAGACGTTCGCTGCAAATTCTTTCACCTGGTCGTTCATCAGCAGGTCCTGCAGAGAGACGGGAAGAAACATTTCCTGATTGTGTTCCTTCTACTGATGGAAAGCAGATTTAATGTGAGAAATTGCACAAAAGTCAACTTCAACACAGACATTACAAAGTTAATTAAGCAATAAGGCAAAACTAAAGTACACAACACCTATGTGTATTTCTGAATGTGACTCAGTTAGTAAAACAGTGTATTATGTGGGGCTGTAGTCTCCGGACTGACTGGTTGGCTGATATGCTCTCATTTGCCTGCATCAGGGTGCTGCATCAACAGCCCACCAGGATTAATCCATTAGTTTTAGTGACAGGTGGAACAAACTACCTGTGAACACCCCCAAGTTTTCACAACTTTGAGCCTGCATCATCTGATTTCGTTAATATTTACTAATTGACACCATGTCAAAGAAGTCAGCACTCTGGTTGGGATTCATTTAAACAGATGGACAAAGTCTTGAGTGTGAACTTTGAAAACTTAAAAAAAGAACGTTTGCAGGTGCACCTTGGGCTGCTCACGGTTATAATGATTTAAAATGCTGCAAATACTTGTTCATTTTGTTTATTTAGAATTCATCTGGGTGAGCAGCTAGCATGCACTCAGCCTATTGTGGCTATTTAGTTGTTGTGGAGGTGATGCAATAGAAATAGTAGTACTGACAAGTACTAATACGACAATATGTTTAAATGTAAATACAAAAAAATCCTAGAAAATCTTTTGGAAAATTATGAAAAGAAGAAGAAACAATATCTAAATACAAGAAGTCCTACACGGTGTTCCATACAAGCTTTTGGTACTTAGAGCTATTTATTTCTGATCATTTGAGTTGCAATCAGTAAAGTATGGATGCTGGATAACAAACCGTAGCAGTCAGTGTGAACTGATTAAAGAGTGTTTGAAACAGTAAAACTTCCTCTAAAATGGAGCAGATGTTCTGTTCTCTTTTACATACACATTGAAGAATGATACCAAATCACCACATTAAGAACACATTTACATTTATAATGCCGTCAGAGAGCTGCACTTGTTGGTTGTTTGATTGTCACTCTGCAAACAATAAAGAAAAAGCAAAACAAAATGCAAACAGAATGTGGACTTAGTTTACAGATAATTGAGACAGTCTACACACCCAACAACCAAGTGCAGCCTGACCTGCTGCTTTGTGCCAACAACTTAACATCTGTTTGTCTAAAGGACCAACACTGATGTAGTCATCTGATGCAGCTTTTAGTGTGTTTGAACAAAGAAAACCCTGGTGATGAAAGTCTGACTTTACCTGAACAAAGTGGCTGGGGGTCTCACTGCAGACGGTGTTGATCTGACCGTTGATGATGGGGATGATCTTGGCCAGCGGCAGACTGACTGCAGACAGACTGAACACACACACACACACACACACACAGATGTTGAAGTCAAACACAAATGCCTGTTGGACATGACATTTTCCAAGTCAGACCATAAATTCAGCACCCTGCTATACCAACCAGCTAACTGAACAGTTAAACACTGAAATATATCCTGATAATCAGCAGACATAGTCATGAAAAATGAAAGGCGTGACAACAACTGATAAAAGAAAAGTACAAAAAGTCTGAATTGAGTGGATTAGTCATCAGCAATGTGTCAAGAACAAAGAGTGTGTTTACATGGACATGAGAATCCTGAGGTGGTCAGGTTTTGTGTTTGTGCAGGCAAACATCATATCCTGGTTTCAAACATCTGAACTGGCCCTGATCCCAGCTTTAGTAAACCTGAATATGTGGTTTGAGCTCTTTGTTGCGTGTACACATCTTGTCCTGGTTTGTGAACGCTGTTCTGGGTTTCTACACATTTTGCCTCCACTTCTCTGTCCAGAACTCTCAGTAGGTTTTTTTTTTTTTTAAAAGACCCTATTTGACACTGACTATAAATAGATAAGTGTTTATTATGTAAACAAATAGTTTTAAAAATGTCATTCTTAACATGTTAGCATGTATTACATTCTGACTAAACACATGGTGCCTATAAAAAGTATTCAGCCCCCTCAGAAATGTTCCATTTTATTGCTTTTCAACCGTGAATCATGGTCAAAAAAATTACGTTTTTTTTGACAAGAATTGATCAAGGGAAAACAAATTTCTAGAAAGCACCGTCAGTTAATTAAAATTTAAAATGTAATACAAGTGACTGCAGAAGTATTCGCCAACTCCAAGTCAGTTTTTAGTAGATGCACTTTTAACTGCAATTCCAGCATTGAATCTATGTGGATAGATCTCAATCAGCCATGCATATCTGAACACTGTATCCTTCTTTGTAAAGCTGCTCAAGCTCTGCCAGGTTGCACAGGGACAGTGTACAGACCTTTTCAAGCTCATCCACAAAGTCTAGGTTGCATTGAGGTCTGGACTCTGACTGTCGTCTCTAAAACATTTCTGTGCATCTCTGACTGTACGCTTCATTGTCTTGCTGGGAAACAAATTTTTCTCGGAAGTTGCAGTTCTCTTGCAGACTGTTGTTTCCTGTACATTGCTGCGTTCATTTTAATCTCGACCTTTACAAGTTTTCCAGGCCCCGTTGTTGAGGGGTAGCCCCACAACATGATGCTGCCACCACCATGCTTTACAGCGAGGTGTCTTTGTGATGAAGTGCAGTGTTTGGTGTCCGCATATATCATATAATAACATTTGTTTCTTTAAAAAAATAAAATAAACAAACAAATAAATTAATTTAAAAAAATATTAATTTAATTTCCATGGCATTTGTGCAGGTTTGTACATTTGTATCCATGATGATGAAGGCAGCCATAAATGTGTGGTTTCCTTATAACTAAATTACTGCATAACTCATAAATGCTCAGATAAGCTTCATATTTGGTTTTTCTGCATTCTCAAATTTGCAACTAATTTGGGTTGTCGTAATTTGGTGGTTGCATTTGGGGTTAAAGTTGTTTTGGAGGCTCTGACGTACAGGCGGCTCTGCATAGCAAACTCTGCAGAAGGTGCGTTCAGATGCACATCACACTTTTTTGCCTTGCTTGCGAGACATCGAGTTCAATCTAACCTGTGCTTCGTCACACAGTGGCAACATTTTGGCTGCAGTGGCTGCTTGCACCACATGTCATGAAAAACACTCTGCTGGTATGATCGGGTTGTTGTTTGAAGTTCAAAACAGGACAAAGGCAATAGTCCTGGAACAAAATATTTTCTATACTCTCTTTTCTTTTTTCCACACTTATCCAAACTGGAAAATTACTAAACTACACACCCACACAACCATTACATTTTCATTTACACTGAAAAATACTTGGATTGATCTATAGACATGTCAGTCAAAAGCTTACCTATCAGGTGCACAACAGGGTTCCAAGTCATTGACAGGTGGGCGAAAGAACTCGGCCAGGTTGTCAAGGAGTCGAGAGAAACCCCGGTTCAGACAGGCGTTGAGAACAGTGGTGAAGTCTGGACTGAAGTTACACATAAAACAGACATTCAGCTTTTACAGATGCAGAAACACAAACAGGCTAAAGTGGGGGAAAAAAGATGCAGAAACAGGTGTGGTGTCTACCTGTCCAGCATGTCTCTGGTCTCATTTAACAGTTTGATGGTCACAACATCATTCTCCGTCAACCCACACGCCTGGACAGAAGAGAAGAATAGAGATTTGTAACATTCTGTAATGCACATGTTGCTATGAGTGCTGCTGTAGATCATAGTCCGTGTGTAGTGACCTGGTCGGCGAGAGCGTTCTCGTCGTCTGCCAGCATGTACCAGGACAGCGAGCGCTCGGAGTCGGCCTCCACCTCCGCTCTGATCCAGCTCAGCTGCTGCTCCAACTCCAGCAGAGACAAACTCTGCTTCAGAGACACACTAGAGACCAACAGAAAGTTAATCAGCAGCTGTTCAGATAATCAATAAGTCATTTAAGTTGTACATCATGAAAAAAAATAAAGTTTTTAGATTTTAGGATTTGCTTCTTGATGCCTTTTTAATATAATTGAACATCACAGAAAACAAGCAAGATGCGTCAGATTCTGTGAAATTCTATAAACTAAATTATAAATAAACCAACAATATAAATTTAAAAAGTGGACCAATGCATAATAGATATCAGACACTCACCTTCCCAGTGAGTTCTGAACTGCCTTCTTCACTACTGTCATCAGCTCTGTCAGACCTGGTGAGAGACGGAGAGTCAGGGCAGGAATCTTAACACTGTACAGACAGACCGATGTGTAAACCTGGTGGGTGTCTTTGTGTCTGTGTGTGTGCTCTACCATCTCCCAGTAGGTGTTGGATACTGGACAGGTACTGCTGCTGGACGTCTGGGGGAGCCAGAACAGTCTGGGAGAAGAAACACCCAACAGAACAAAATAAGCGTTTATTGTCTTCATCTACACCGGCTGTTTTGTCTGCTTGTCCCACAGTAATGAGCCTCAACTGTACATCAAACACAGTGTGAATTGTAAAAAAAAGTCAGACTCTCAAAAATTCACAGAACCACACAAAGTCCTTGTTATTTTTTCCCCCCTAAACCTGTTGAAAATAAAGATCTCCTGAGCTGATGCAGGTCTATTATATCTATTAATCTGCCCTGGTTAAAACACAGATCCTTGTGTTCTTACTGCTTTACAGCTGAGCTGCAGCATCGCACCGTAGATGAGTGTGAAAGTTAAATAGTGTGAATGTGAGAACTTCTTCAGTCTCACAGGTGACTGACTCTGTCCTGAGACCCGAGTTAAAAAAAGAAAAAGAAAACTGAAACTAGCTTTACCAAGTCTCTCTTCTCTCTTACTGATTAAAAATGATAAGTATGCACCCAGGAAGCAGCGCCTGGATGTATGACTAACATCACTGGCAGCAGGTCATAGAAGCTGTGAATTTCATACATAACTTGATGTCGGGCCAAAATAAAACTTGGCTGTGGCTGGTGTTGAAGAAATGTACCCGTAGTCCTCATGCAAAGTTCACTGTAGTGGGGCGTTTATTAGTATTCTGGTATGCGGTGAGTTTACCAACACAGAATGTGAGTCTGTGAAGATAAGCCGACCCAGAACATTTGCAGAGTTACACATTTTATAGGGTGTGTCAGAGGGTGGGAGGGGCTGCAAATACCTGAAGTGAATAGTGCTGAGTTAGTGTATAGTTGCTAATCAATGACAGGAGGTACGAGAATCAAGCAGTCTGATGGAAAGAGAATAATCAATAACAATGGTAATGGAACATTGAGTGTCTGTAGCAAAAGATGTGCTATTTTCTTTATCACTGGTTTGTGTCTCTCTGCAGTTTGGACTCTGCCAAAGACGTTAATGAAGTAAACAAAGAACTAGTCCAACAGTGTGAGTGTTCTGGATTGGAGCCACAGTGTAACGTTGGAGTCGGTTCAACTGGGTGTTCCTGCAGTAACAACTCCCAACATAGTGATACATTTTCTAATGTTTTGGAAATGAGCAGAAGAAATTATCCATCCATCATCTATACACCGCTTAATCCTCACTAGGTTTCACGGGGGGCTGAAGCCTATCCCAGCTGACTCAGGGTGAAGGCAGGGGACACCCTGGACAGGTCACCAGTCTGTCACAGGGCTACACTTCCAGACAGACAACCAAGCACACTCACATTCACATCTACGGACAATTTAGAATCACCAATTAACCTCAACATGTTTTGAACCCGGAGAGAACCCACGCTGCATGGGGAGAACATGCAAACTCCATGCAGAAAGATCCCGGGTGTCCTCACTGGGACGCGAACCGGTGACCTTCTTGCTGCAAGGCAACTGCGCCACCTTGCAGCAGCAGAAGAAACCAACAGCTCAGAATATAAAGCTTCATTTCTGTATGTGAAAGGACTTTATGAAGCACTAACCGTTGTGCTCTTTCCTACAGAGTTATCCAGGTACAGGTATCCTCCGATGATGTTCAGCTGGACTCTCAGTAGAACCACCAGCATGCAGGTGCTGTAGACGGCCACGATGGTGCGGGTGAAACCTGAACAAGACAACAGGGTTTGTGATTAAAATTTGGGTCTCAAGTCAAAAAATAAAAAACAAGAAAAAAAGGATTATTAACTTCTATTTACTTGAGTATAAACTTTACACTGTGTTAATGATTGTTTTAGTGTTATGTGATGTGAAAAACACTTACTGATGATCTTTAAATCTTCCCAGATCTCCAGCTTATTATCTGGTCTGTGAGACAATGTGAAAGGAGAAAAAAAAGTACATCACACGTCAAAGAAAGTATTTCAAACAGCTATAAACTACCATTTACATGTAACTGGATAAACACAGTAACTTAATTTAAACTTGTTTTAACCCTAAAGACACAATAATGTGCAGTATTGGATTCAAAAGAGGAATATTTTGTATCAAACTACTGCATCCAACAGTAAAAGAGGCTTCTGCTCACTTGGTCTTCAGCAGCGCAGTGAGACTTTCTGAGTTGAGCTGACTGACGACTGCTTCTTTCAGCGGAGGGAGCATGGATAGCACTGAAACACACAAACACCATGTGAGCAGAGACACGGTCTTAGTTTTGCCTTTTTTTTCAGTGCAGATTCTTGTAACTAACATGAGTCTGAAGGACAAGCATGTAGCTCTTACCGGTCATGTTGCAGGTCCTCTGGTTGCTCTCGAAGTGGAACTGCCTTCTTGCCTGAGCGATGTACTCCGTCGCCTCCCTCTCCTGGATCTCCCTGAGCTTCTTCTGGGCATATTTACCGAGGACGTACACTCCTGACAACAGATAAATACACAACAAGTAGCACAACGGGAAACAATCCTCAGTTGTAGTAGGGAGTGCAAGCTCACCAAGACTTGGGGGAAACTTAGAATGTGGAATAATACCCATACCCAATGGCTGTACTTTCAGTAATATAGTTGTATATCTTAGCATTTTAAGGATTTGGGGGGGTGGGGGCAGGGCATAGAGTTTTTTTAAATGCCACTTTTTCCACTACTTTTCTACTGTGGAAAATTTTCTCCTGGAATTTTGCCATAAGTCACAATCAAAATAAGCTCTGAATGTCAAAATGTATGTATGTGTGTGTGTGTGTGTGTGTGTGTGTTAGTTGCCCTTTAGGCTTCACGGAGCCACTTTGAGTTAATGACAGACACTCATAGGTCAGCATGTTAGTTAAAGCCTGTGGTTCAATAAAGCAGCTTAGGGAGGATTCAATAGGCTAATAATTAGCATCCATAAGTGCTGTTCTCGTGCATGGACCTTCACACCAAACTTCATTCAAATTTCTGGCAATTTTGAGATATCTTGCTTATATGCAAATAGTCAACTAAAATGTTTTCAGTGAACCGTATCTAACTTCGTTTACAACCAACACAGTATGTTAATGTATATACTTGTATGTTGATTTTAGTAGAATCTAATTATTATTTGGTCTTGAGACAGTTCTGTTCCATTAAATTACGTACGTTGGTGCCTTAGAACATGTAGTTTTATTAGAAATTCTGCTGCTTCATGGAGAAAATATATGCCGAATTAAACACACAAACCACACGGTTCCTAAACGCCATTGAAATGCATGTTAACATACATGTACTTTAGTAATATTGTAAAAATTAGACTATTTCAAGATAGTTTCGCGGAGTCTGGCGTGCTGCTACAGTCCACTATTAGCAAGGTAGCTACAAGGAGCACTAGTTACCTCCAACGACAGCTCCGGCGAAAATAAATTTCCTTTTGTGGCGTTTTACAAAATTCCAGGCAGACGAAAACATCCTCAGACAGCGAAGAGTTCACCAACGACAACTCCAGACACACTCCGTACCTTTCACTGTGTACTCGCTATTTTACGGACATGTTACCTGAAGAGTTTAGTTCGTTGCTAACATGCTAACTGTCTAAAGTGCAAAGTGTCCGTGAAGACAGACGGAGTTCACTGATATACAACTTCAGGTTAACAATTTCAAAATAAAAGCGGTGCTGGACTGAGATGTAAAAAAAAAAAGAAAGAAAGAAAATCCAACCGTATTCAAGCAATTATGCCAAAAATGTTTATTAACCCAATGACAAAAGTGCATTTAGGAGCACAGTAAAAATAAAATAGAATATTTGTGTTACCTGTGTGGGTATTTTTTTGTTTGTTTGTTTGTTTTAATTCATGTAGGACTGATTGCATCATAATACTGTTAACAAATTTGACATGTGCCCATGCGCTTTACTTTATTTTTACCTTTGTATTTACATTTTCAGAACATAATTCACAGTTTTGATGAGCTTATGTGGACCATAATAACAAAAGGCTGACCAACGTAGGTTTTTGTTCCGTCGTTAGGCCAATTTTAAAGGCCGCAACAAGAGGACCTGAAAGTCTCAAAAGGTTCATAGGATAAAAGCAAATCGATGTGACCAAGAGCATTAAGAACTTTATGAACCAATACAAATGTTTTAAAATCAATTCTAAAACAGGCAGGTTTCCAGTGCAGAGACTTTAAAAGTGGTGGTTTATTTTATATATAGAATTCCCACATTTCCGGTTTACATCTAGACTAGAGTAGCTAACTTGACGCAACAGACTCCTCGCAGAGCGTGGAAATGAGCGGCGCCGCGACGATCGATTGGTCACGTCTGGAAGTGGTCCGTCCAATATTATCTTCCTCCCTCCGTGGCAGCCACACTGTCGCAGACGAAACTGCAATGAAACAGTAGCGAAAAACGTTACAGGGTCGCATTATGCTCTAGCAGTAGGTCTTGTTAAACTGGACAGCAGTATCAGCAGCAGTCATGGGACCAGAGGAGGGCTGTGAGGCCGAGGCGGTGGACAGTTTCTGTCCGAGTGACGAGGACGTTGATAAATGGATGTCCAGCGCTTTCCACATGGTGAGCGATTAGAAGTGATTCAGTTTCATTTCAGCCAAGCTACGGTGACTAAATTGCTGTTGTTATGATGCTTGAAAGTTTCCCACGTTTATAATGATCATTGATTTTTGCATGACGAAATGTACAACCTAGTTTCTGCTCTTGTTGATTAAGCGATTAGAGAAATTAGCAGGAAACAGTCTTACACAGCTCAACTCTGCTGGTTTTCATTACCATCTTTAAAAGTTTGGTTGGTCTGATGGTGAAACAGGTCTAATAGTTCACTGTATTTAGTATCAAAAAGGCCTGAAAGTGTTTATCTTGGTCAACCCTGCTGAAACACAGTTGTTATACCTTTTATAAAGTAAACCATTCATGACAAAATGTAATCAGTAGTAATGACAGTTAGTTGCAGCCCTGATCTACATATTAATGCCTGTGCTCCACATGATTTTCTCTTCTGCTGACTACGTTCTGAATGTTGGTGCTTCGTTGCTGCTTGCTGACCTGCTGTATATGTGTGTCTTCAGGCCAGAGAAGCTCTGGAGACCGGAGAGGTGCCTGTCGGATGTCTGATGGTCTACAAAGATGAAGTTGTGGGGAAGGGAAGGAATGAAGTGAACGAGACGAAAAATGTAGGAAAAATTAAAAATGCACTCTCAGTTTCTGTTTTTATGGCTCAACCACAAAATCACCACATGCAGAAATCAGTTATTTAACAGAACAACCAGATCAGTAACGCCTAAAAGCAGCTGCCAATGTATCTATATTTAGCAGTTTTGTTTATGGAGAATATGCAGTTACATGTAAAATCAAGTTCTTTATATAGAAGTGTTAAAAGTGTTTGTCTTGACCAAGAAAGCTGAAATACTTCCACCATTTTATCTGCTAAAAACATGGTTGCTGCTCTAAATTGTACCGCTTAAAACCTGATTTTTTTGAAGGGACTTTGGTGTGAAGTTTGGTTCAGCTAAAGGACAACTCAGTCATAACATATGCTTCTCTGTTTGTGCTCTACATGTGTGACATTATTCAGGCGACTCGACACGCTGAGATGGTTGCTCTGGACCAGGTCCTGGACTGGTGTCGCCGCAGCAGCCTGGATGTGAGGAGCGTGTGCGAGCAGACGGTTTTGTACGTCACCGTGGAGCCGTGCATCATGTGTGCTGCAGCTCTGCGGCTGCTCAGTATCCTTCCCTCACCTCTCTGTGTGTGTGTGTGTGTGTGTGTGTGTGTGTTAGTGAGTGTGTTGGCTGAGCGGTTGCTCCTTCACCGGCCGTCAGATATCCCCGTGGTGGCGTACGGCTGCAGCAACGAGCGCTTTGGAGGCTGTGGGTCAGTTCTGGACGTCTCCTCTGCTCACTTGCCTCAGACGGGAACCAAATTCAAGGTCTGTGTTTGTTTCTGGCGTCTTTGTATATTTGCATACTTGTTTGTGAATCCTGTTATGGTCCCTGCAGGAGAAATTCAAAGTCTTTTGGCAGTTGATTAACTCTGTGAACCCCCAAAATCACCAGCAGGTGTAAGAGACGTGTTATCTTTAAATAATCCGAGCCAAGAATCCACAAGTGACTCAACTATGAGCAACAGTCACATGACTGTTTGGCTGAACTGCAGGCAGTGTTTACACAGAGCAGAGAGGAGACTAGTGTGGAAGCAAATGAAAATATAAATAGTAAAACATCTATACAGTGCTGCCCACTTAATGTCATACCACTTTATAGAATATCCCGTTTATAATCATGAAACATCGAAGTCCTGAATCATTTCCTATATAACCTATAATAAAGCAGACCAGTGTAATGTCATAATCACGGTTTTTGTCATAACGAAATTCCCCGAAATTGATTCCAGGCTGAGTGTCGGTCATTCATGGCAGATGATCACACCCCAGTCAGCCGTGGAAGGCAACGTGTTAGTTTGTTTGTCAATGACCTGCTTACCTGAGATCTGCTTCACTGAGTTATTCACACACTGTCTGACATTAATTAGGGCAAATCAGAGAGAATGGCATTGTTACAGAGCATGACGTCGCTCATAACTGAACTGCTCGGCTAGTTAATCCTGATAAATTAATCCTCAGCTAGTTAATCCTGATAAATTAATCCTCTGTATACCCTCTGATTAAAGGACATAACTTTTACTGATGGGGTGACTTTTCATACCGACAAAGGTGAAATTTCACTGAAGCAAAACCATAAAGCTCCGTTTGAATAAACATTTTTTGATCTTCAACAAAACTGTCCCTTTGATCTTATGAAAACTTTCCCATTTTGGTTTTACATATAACCCCCGTTTTTCGTCACACAAATACGATTTTCTCAGTGCTCTATCGTTGTGGACACTTCTATACGCTGATCTTGAAGCCTGCTTACTGGAATATCCCGATCGTAGTCATAATTCCATCCTAGACCGAGGGTAGGATAATAAACGGGCAGCACTGTGGTATGTAATGACTCTGTTCTTTTTCAGTGTTGATAACATCAAAAAATCTAATCATTTAAACTTTCCCTTTTCTTTTTTTATGATTTATGACACAGTAGCTGTGTCATGCTGCATAGAAATCATTTTTTGAGTTCTCTCTAGTTTTAGCTTTAGCCAAGGACATCAAGAGGAAACAAACAAATGGCACTTGTTGTCCTCTCTGAGTTTAACCAATCAGTGTCGAGCCTCACACACCAGTTCTTCAGGGTCAATCAGAAGAACCAACCCTGGAGGAGGAGGAGGAGGAGGTGCTTTTATCCTCCTACAAAATGGCAAGAGGTTCTACAGGAACAGTTCCTGTACAGGGTTCAGAGAACAGAGCAGCAGCCTGCTGACAGCACTGTTGTGTGTTCAGTGTGTTTCAGGTCACAGAGCAGAAGAAGCTGTAGAGATGCTGAAGACTTTCTACAAACAGGAGAATCCAAACGGTACAAACGGTCTTTTCTTCTTCTGGTTTCTTTCTTTGCTCTTTTTCCATCTTTTTAGCCTTTTTTGTTTTCTGGTTTAGTTTTATTCTATAATACGTTCTATCATCTGCTCCCGTCTTGTTCCCTTCTTTCCATCACATTCCCTCTTTTCTCCTATTTTTTTTTCACTTTAGTTTTTCATATTAACACTAAATTACTATTTCAATTTATTTACCTCTGTTGGATCATTATGTCCCTTTTCTCTTCCATTTTAAACCTATTTTTCGATCCTTTTTCCTCATGTAGCTGATGTTTCTTTTCCTTTTTCTAACAGTTCTATACTTTCTGTCTGTTTCAGCCCCAAAACCCAAAACAAGAAAAGACTGACCTTCCAAGAAGAACCCTGTTGTATGTTTCTTTTTTAAAAATGTGTTTGTATTTACCTTTTAGAAACATTCTAATAATAAATACTATTTTATTGATCTATGTATGTATGCATGAGCTTCCTTCAGCGTTGTGTTCCTGTCGGTCGGCCAGCAGGAGGCGCAGCGCACCAGCTAGCGTTCTGTCACACTTGAACCCGACGCGGAAGAAACGACGCTTTAATTCGTCTTTCTGAGGAGCTGCGGCTCTCAGATGAGTGTGTGACGCTGTGACTGAAACGGAAATAAGACGAATGTTTCGAAAGGCAGATTTTCACTGGATGTCGGTGAAGTTTAAGCGCTCTTTGTTTCTTCTGTTTGTTCCGTAAACGCAACACTTCACGCTATTTTTCAGTGAGTGTGTGTGTGTGTGTTTACTGACCTTCTCAACTGCTCATATCACACACACACACACACACACACACACACACACACACACACGCACACACACTTGACACATTTCATACTTTTTCGCTTCCTGTTAGACACATACACACATGTTGTGGTGTGTGTGTTTGTGTGTGTGTGTGTGTGTGTGTGTGTAGCATTTGCAGCTGGGAGAAATTGAAAGAAGTGTGTGTCCTGTTTTGTTTTTTTTTCTTTCCACTCACTCCAACAAAGCCATGGAGACATTTTTAAACTTGTTCACACGTCGTCTCTCTCTTGTCTGTGTTTGTCACCACTTCCTTCCTCCTTTTAGTGGCTGATAACTTCCTTCCTTCCTTCCTTCCTGCCTTCCTTCCTTCCTTCCTGTCCGTCTTTGTTCGTTTCCTTCCTCCTTTCCCACAACCTCCGTCCGTGCTTTCTTTTTCACCCTGTCTTCCTTCTTCTATCACTTTATTCATCTTCAGTTTTGGGTTATTTCATATAAAATAAACCAAATCCAGAAGAAGTTCCTGTAGCTCTACAATCATGAGTGTGTTTGATGAAGCCGTGCAGAGCTTTACCTTCAGACTGTGAATGTTTTCACAGCTACAGACTCTTGAAGAACTCAGGGTTGTGCTTTTTAATTCGCGCTACTTTTCCATTATTTCTGAGCCCTGATAACTTCACAAGTTCAGGCCATATGAGTTTTTCAGGGCTGAAAAACAAACTTTTGCTCTGTTGAAAACCACAACCAAATCCCTTTTCCATCCACTCCAGGTGCCACAATCTAAATCCCAAATCTAGTTGTTGTTAAGTATTATTTTTTCTATAGACAACGGTGAGCGTCAGCATCCTGGGTTACGTCATAGTTCAGCAATTAAACTGCATCAGTTTATCATCAGTGACAGAGAGTCATAGAAACAAGCGTCCATGGTACCGGGTGTTTTCACTGGAGAAAACTTTACAAAGTGCATTTTGGGTAAACTTTGAAGGATCATAATACCACGTGAGATCGATGGTTGTTCAAGAAAATGAAAAGTTGCATTTTTACTTTCATGTGATTCCAGACTTGT